GCTCCTATTAATACCTTATATCTGTCTTATGGCCTCAGTAATTTTGTATTATTCTTACATGTTTCAGTGTGCCTGAACTCAGTTCCTTAAGGCTGTATTCATTCATTCACTCAGTACTTTTTTTTTTTTTGGTAGAGACAGAGTTTCACTTATTGCCCTCAGTAGAGTTCCGTGGGATCACAGCTGACAGCAACCTCAAACTCTTGGGCTTAAGTGATTCTCTTGCCTCAGCCTCCCAGGTAGCTGGGACTACAGATGCCCACCACAACGGCCGGCTTTTTTTTGTTGCAGTTGTCATTGTTATTTAGCAGGCCCAGGCTGGGTTTGAAACTATATTCAGTTTTTTTTTTTTTTTTTGGAAACAGAGTCTCAAGCCATCACCCTGGGTAGAGTGCTGTGGCATCACAGCTCACAGCAACCTCCAACTCCTAGGCTTATGCAATTCTCCTGCCTCCACCTCCCAAGTAGCTGGGACTATAGGCACCTGCCACAATGCCTGGCTATTTTTTGGTTGCCGCTGTCGTTGTTTGACAGGCCCGGGCTGGATTCAAACCCGCCAGCTCAGGTGTATGTGGCTGGCACCTTAGCCGCTTGAGCCACAGGCACCAAGCCTGTATTCAGCTTCTTAAGGGCCTTGCTGAATCGTCAGTACAGACACTGAATTGTGATGGTATGCACTAACCTTCTAATGCAGAGTTTAATACAAGCCAAGAGACAGAATACCAAACTATATTTACTGTTGACAGTAGTAAAGGATAACAGATAATGTACAAATTGGTGAATAAACACAATAGCGCTAACAAACACCCCACCCAAGCCCATACAGCAAAACAAAAGAAATGAGAGCACTTTCAGAAAGATTTCAAGCAAGCAAGAGATGATGGGTCGCTGTTCAGGTGACTATAAAAAAGGCAGCGTGGCCACCAGGCGTCAGTGAATCCTTACGGAACAACGACAGGCAGAGCTACAAACGTTTCTAGTTGGTATAGATCCCCAAATGTTCCACAGAACTGGAATCACCACAATAATGCGTAAGTTCAATACATACTTGGAGAGCAACACAGCACAAACACACGGGAAGAGAGCAGAGCGCGAAGTCATCTTCCCTGGGTTTGTCTGAAACCATACTTTGAAGTAGCTCTTTTACACCACAATGTAACTGAAAATCCAGCAATACTTAATCTGACTTGTTTATGTATAGACCATAATTACTCAGCAAAAGCAAATACTTAAAAGAAACCAGACGTCACAACACCATCACCACATAGGATATGCGGATTGTTTTCTTCTATATTCAGAACAGAGAAAAAGCCAGTTTTTGCTGTGCCAATCCTTGTCCATGTACTGACTGTCAGGCACTGATGGGGAGTGGGGTGGGGGCCTGGGACAGCAAGGGGCATGCTCAAGGAGCTGGGAGCACATGGGACCAAATTACCAAAGGATGCTGATTATTTTACTTTTTAAGAAGGAGTCCAGCATTTTCCCTTCAACTTTACCACATGGTGACAAAGTTTAAATCTGCAGTATTCAGCATTTTAATAATGTGTGCCTACAACAAACAGCAAATGAGTCTTGTCTTCCATCCTCACCTTTCTCAGGCCCACACCTGACCCACCCCCACTGGTGTAAACACCAGCACAGTGTGACCAGATCAGGCAGGGAGGGGCAGCCTGCACCAGGGCAAGATCCTGCTGTGGACTAAAAGCAAACATTCAGGCCACAAATCTGGGGTAAAAAATGCTATAAGAGGGGGAAAAAAGAAAATGAAAACTTAACAAACCCCAAAAAACTTGCAACTCATTTCTCTCGAACAAAGATAGCAATTCTGATTGACCCAATTTAAGTTGTAGATCCACCCCCGCAGATACAGTTTTGAGTTGCACTCGAAGTATGTCAGAGAGGAAAATCATTTTGGTGAATGCTCTTGAGCTTCTTCAGACCCCTCTGTGGCTGGTATGGTCACATGTTCACTACTCAACAGCAGGATAAGGAAGGGCAACCAGCAGGATGGTCCCTTTAGAGGCCATGCCCAGCGGGCAGCTGGTCTCCCACCAGCCTCCTGTCTGCTGTTGGAACACATCGATGGTGTCTTCATCCTCCATCTCCAGCTGTCACAGTGGTGGGCAGGGACAGAGAGAGACGAGAGTTTGTTAGTCTCCCCTCATCAGAGGAAGGGTAGTGCTAACTGGTGTGAGTGGTGCCTGAGCAGCTCCCCACACCAGAGACATGGCCTGACCACACCCCTGCTCTGGCCCGACCCTTGTGTGCAGGAACAGAGATGTCCTCATGCACTCAATAAGCCCTACAGGCTCACAGATTTCCCTGGACAAAGCTCTCAAAAGAATATCCAAAGCTGGCTTGGCGCCTGCAGCACAGTGGTTATGGTTCCAACCCAGCCTAGGGCAGCTAGGCAACAGTGACAAGTGGAACAAAAAAATAGCCAGGCATTGTGGTGGGCACCTGCAGCCCCACCTACTTGGGAGGCTGAGGCAAGAGAATCATTTAAGCCCAAGAGTTTGAGGTTGCTGGCTCAGCGCCTGTAGCTCTAGCTGCTAAGGCACTACTGGCCACATACACCTGAGCTGGTGAGTTTGAATCCAGCCTGGGCCCACCAAACAACAATGACGGCTGCAACCCAAAAATAGCCAGGTGTTGTGGCAGGTGCCTATAGTCCCAGCTACTTGGGAAGCAGAGGCAGGAGAATCGCTTGAGCCCAGGAGTTGGAGGTTGCTGTGAGCTGTGATGCCACAGCACTCTACCCAGGGGGACAGCTTGAGGCTCTTCTAAAAAAAAAAAAAGTTTGAGGTTGCTGTGAGCTGTACCACCACCAAGGGCTACATAGTTAGACTCTTGTCTCAAAGAAAAAAAAAATATCCAAAGCTAAAAATGTTAATTGAGTCTAAAATACAAACTGAAATGTCTAAAATTCTTACTGAAGATTACACAAAATCAGATTCTAATTAGAATATCTCATCAGTAGCCTCATTCTAAGGACTCTGGAGCCAAGCACTTTCTAACAGGTGCAGGGGGTGGGCGATGCCAGTGAAAGATTCCATAAGAAGGAACCACAATAAGGGATTGCTGAAGTAAAGGCCCTTCCACTGGCCATTCCCAGCACTCAGTACTCTGAAGCCCACAACAGAGATGATACTGCTCCCTGCTCCCCTCGCTTCTCCTGACACAGTGGGCACAAAGTTGTCACCCCCAACCCTTTTCTGGGAACAAAGGAAGCTTCTCTCAATTCCTACAGGAGCAGGAATGGTCTCAGAAACAGAGCAGTCTTGCTAGGCTCTTGGCCCCTCACCCACCACAGAGGCACCTGGGCGGGGCGGCTCCTGCTCAAGCCTGTTTGCTCACTACCCTTTCCCCCAGAGCCAGCCACTCTCAGCAGTGTATGACTTCCTAAGGTAGCCAGAAATTAAATATTTATTGCAAAAATATTTTGCTACTTATTATATACTGAATATTAAATATTTAAAATAAATGTTTTACAAAAATATGTTCACAAAACATTATAATTAATTCTCACAACCTTGTAAAGGAGAAAAACAGGTATCATCCATTTTACAGACAAACATAAGACTCTAACAGATTAAGTGACCCTGGATCATGAGGGCACTGGGTGACAAATGGTAAGAGCTGCAACTTGGAACTTAAAAGGTCTTCTACACTTGAAAGCCCAAAGCTCTTGTCCCTGCAGGAAGGTGCGCTTACCACAGCAGTCCAGTCTGCAGTAGCTGGTGTGTGGCAGATCAGTGCTGAAGAAAAACCACCTGTGCTGGCTGCCAGCAATGGCGGTGGTGCAGTCTCACCTTCACTGGTACAGGAAGGCTGAGGGGCACAAGAATCGGGCCAGGCATTTAGCTACTGGATGACTAAACTGCAGATTCAGTGTCCAGACAGTGCATGGAAAGGGGCTTTAGGCCACAACCGCGCTGTGAGCAGGCCCTGCACCCAGCAGGGAGGAATCTGATAGAGCAGTTTTCACATTTGAAATTTTAATTTTAAAGTTAATTAAAACCACTGAGAGAAAGTAAAGCATCCTATATGAACACCAGTCAACAATTCTCAAGTAAGAGTATTCCACCAAATGGCAATTACTCGTGTGCAGGTCAGAGGCAGCCCTGGAAACACACCATGATAGCTTCCATACCTGTGCTGGAGTATCTGTTTCATTAATCGGTTGCCCATCAAACCTAAATCTAATCTGTCTCATTGACAAGCCCTGAAAAGAAAAAAAAAACAATTACCATTAAATACTTGCAGATAACACAGCTTAATTCAAAAAATCAAATATTTATATCCAAATAGCATTCTAATTTATGATCCAGCAGATTCTACAGACTTGCCAGTGGCCTACAATCTCTTCAAGGCACCACCCAACACCAGCACTGTGGAAATCACTTTCTAACTTCTCATCCCTGGTGCCCTGACTTGCCCTGAGTCATTCTTCTTGTTTTCTTCCAGAAGCCAAGCAGAACTGCCACACTGTTGGCACTTCCACGCCCCCTAGATACTTCTGAGAGGCTAGGCTCAGTGGCTCACACCTGTAATCCCAGCACTCAGGGAGGCCAAGACAGGAAGATCATTCAAGCTCAGGAGTTGGAGACCAACCTGAGCAAAAGCAAGACCCCATCTCTATTAAAAATAGAAAAACTAGCCAGGTGTTGTGGTGGGCACCTGTAGTCCTAGCTGAGGCTGAGGCAGGAGTTGAGCCCAGGAGTTGGAGGTTGCTATGAGCTGTGATGCCACAGCACTCTACCCAGGACAACAAAGTGAGACTGTCTCAAATAAAATAAAATAAAATAAGAGGCTCGGCACCCGTGGCTCAAGCGGCTAAGGCGCCAGCCACATATACCTAAGGTGGCGGGTTCGAATCCCCAGCC